CACCGCTGAGGTTGAGCGAGGCGCGGGCGGGCGGGATCCTTACATCCTTGCTCATGAGAAACAGCCGCTCGGACGCTCTATCCCGAGGTGAACACAGACCCAGACTAGCCGCTGCTGACCCGTTAGAGGGCGCTGGGGTGTGAGACAGATGGGCTGCCATGGTGACGGCAACACAGACGCTGGTTACAACGAGAATAACACTCATGGTGATGGCGTCAGTCACGATATATCAACTGCTGTCACGATGCCTTGTCACGATGTAGCAGCCTATGTCACGATGTAGCAGCCTCTGTCACGATGTAGCAGCCTCTGTCACGATGTTGCAGCCTCTGTCCCGATGTAGCAGCATCAGTCACGATGTAGCAGCCTCTGTCACGATGTAGCAGCCTCTGTCACGATATATAGCAGCCTCTGTCACGATATAGCAACATTCGTCACGATATAGCAACTTCTGCCACGATATATCAACTGCTGTCACGATGTAACAGCCTCTGTCATAGTGTAGCAACCTCTGTAACGATATAGCAGCCTTTGTCACGATGTAGCGGCCTCTGTCACGATGTAGCGGCCTCTGTCACGATGTAGCAGCCTCTGTCACGATGTAGCAGCCTCTGTCACGATGCAGCAGCCTCTGTCACGATGTAGCAACCTCTGTCACGATGTAGCAGCGTCTGTTACAATGTAACATCCTCTGTTACAATGCAGCAGCCTCTGTCACGATGTGGCAGCCTCTGTCATGATGTAGCAACCTCTGTAACGATGCAGCAGCATGGGACACGTCTTTTCTTTGCAGCGACAAAACATGTAACTGCAGCTATTCTCTCTCATTACAGCTATGTATAGACTCTGTCTGTGCTCACAATAAAACGAAGGCTCGAGTGCATGTAACCGATTCTCTTCTGCACCCGAAACAGATCTGCAGCGTTAAAAGATTCACCACATCTCTCGCTGCGCGCGCCTTTGATCGCGTTAAATAATTTATCTTTAATGTTAAAAACGTTATCCTTGTTTGCTATATGATCAGGAGTGGATAAACGGACTTTTATCCAGGACCCTTTATCCACTCGTGATATAATATTTATAGTACTGCGTGCATTAATATTTGTTAACCTGTACAAAGTAATACGTGGTGAAATAATATCGCCACCATCGAACCCAATACGCATGCGCGCATGAGTGTATTTGCTAGTTGCTGTGTGCTAGCCACGCAACGCGGGATTCGAATGTTACGGAACATATTTGCATGGGATGAACAGTCGTCGGAAATTGCTTAATCCGTGATTGTCATTACTTCGAATCCGTGTTGCTTCGTGTTGCTCCGTGTTGCTCCGTGTTGCTCCGTGTTGCTCCGTGTTGCTCAGTGCTGCTCCGTGTTGTTCCGTGTTGATCCGTGCTGTTCCGTGTTGCTCCGTGTTGCTCCGTGCTGCTCCGTCTTTCTCCGTGTTACTGCGAATCCGTGTTGCTCCGTGTTGTTCCGTGTTGTTCCGTGTTGCTCCGTGTTGCTCCGTGTTACTGCGAATACGTGTTACTCCGTGTTGCTCCGTGTTGCTGCGAATCCTTGTTGCTCCGTATTGCCTTGAATCCGTGTTGCTCCGTGTTGCTCCGTGTTGCTCCGTGTTGCCTTGAATCCGTGTTGCTCCGTGTTTCTCCGTGTTGCTCGGATTTCGGAGACACATATCAAAGCCAGGCAATTGATCTTCATTACGCTAACATGATACACACTCAAAGTTTGAACAACCATTCGGTTTTTTTGAGAAGCAAATCGAAGCGAGCGTCCGTAGCAACGCGATCTAAGTCGCTCTGAGTTGGAGAATTAAGAAAGAGCGTCCGTAGCAACGCGATCACTTCATCGACTTCTATCGTTAGAATTGTTAACTGACCGCCTCTCCCTACATGATCTCCACCTTTTTCCTCTACTTTTTTCTTTCTTGTTTCTTCGTTCTCACGCGCTCGTGTTGGAGAGGTATTGTTTACACTAGTATGCAAATTATAATATAATGTACTATAATTATAAAATATATATACATTATAAAATTCTAATATATATTCAAGGGCTAATAATACCTTTAGAATAATTTTTGCCGTAAAATAGAACTATTTTCCCCGATGTTCCCGTTGTACACTCTAGGTATTATTTGCTCTTGATATCTTGCATTAATTAATTAGGAACAGCTGACTAATTAAGGTAATTGAGGGCGGACGGTAGACAGATGATCGTGAAATGTCGCATGTGACACAACGTAGTGTGACAGTGGCAACGTAGTGTGACAGTGACAACGTAGTGTAACAGTGAGAACGCAGTGTGACAGTGACAACATAGCGTGACAGTGACAACGTAGTGTGACAGTGACAACGTAGTGCGACAGTCACAACGTAGTGTGACAATGCCAACGTAGTGTGACAGTGACAACGTGGTGTGACAGTGACAACGTAGTGTGACAGTGACAACGTAGTGTGACAGTGACAACGTAGTGTGACAGTGACAACGTAGTGTGACAGTGACAACGTAGTGTGACAGTGACAACGTAGTGTGACACGGAATAAACACGTGAACACGCACGCGGACGGGAGGAAAGCACGGTAGAAACATTTAGGGTAAAAAACTAGAACGCGGGACAAGGACACGGTAGAAACATCCCATTTCTTAAACCATGTCTACTGATGGAATTTTATCATATAAATCTATGCTAGGATAACTCCTCTTCAGTTTAAATGCATAATGTTTGCAAAATATTGTTCTACTCGGGAGATATTGCGCATGCGCGAGCACCCTTGAAGGCGTGCAGTACGGACTTAAAAGCACTGCATAATATAACTTGCTGATGGAGAGAAAGGTGGGACACTGAGGAAAGACGGGAGGAAAGATAATTAAAGGGTGGTAGACAAAGAAGGATGCTGAGCGAGAGACAAAGAAGGCAAGAAAGGATGGAAGGGGATGAAATAGTATTTTGGCACCCTACTGGCTAGGGCGCTGTCCCAAATATAACCACAGGTACACTAAAAAAAATTATTACGTAAATCTATGCTGAAATACGCCCTAACCATTTTAAATTCATATTCATCACAAACTATAACTCCTCTGGTGAGATATTGCGCATGCGCTAACACACTAACGTAGCCAGATTGTGTACTGGCTGGTATACGCAGCCAGGACCTTACATGCAAGGTCTTCCTCCTATTTCTTAAATGATGTCTACAGATGGAATGTTATTATATAAATCTATGCTCAGATAACTCCCCTTTATTTTAAATGCATAATCTTTGCAAAATACGATTGTTTTCGGAAGATATTGCGCATGCGCGCGAACCGTATTAGGGGTGCAGTGCCGTCTGAGGTAATTTTCATAATATAGCTTGCTGAGGGGGAGAGGGGATGGGAGACTGAGGAGAGTCGGTAGAAAAGATAGCTTGGGGCGGTAGAAGAACAAGGAGGCTGAGCGAGGGACACGGGAGTCAAGGAGAAGGACGCGAGGGCATAAGTAGGTGTTTTGTACCCTGCATGCTAGGGCGCTCTCCAAATTATAATCACAGGTCTACTGATAAAGGTTTATTAGGGAGATTTATGCTGAGATACCCCCTAACTATTTTAAATGCATATTCATCACAAAATATAACTTCTCTGGTGAGATATTTCGCATGCGCTAACACAATAACGTAGCCAGATTGTGTACTGACTGGTATATGCAATGGGTACCTTACATGCAAGGTCTTCTTCCCATTTCTTAAGTGATGTCTACTGATAGAATTTTATCATGTATGCTAAGATAACTCCTCTTCAGTTTAAATGCATAATTTTAGTAAAATGTTGTTTTTCTCCGAAGATATTGTGCATGCGCGAGCACCGTTGAAGGCGTGCAGTACGGACTGAAAAACACTGCATAATATAACTTTCTGAGGTAGAGAGAGATGGGAGAGTAAGGAAAGATAGTTGAGGGGCGGTAGAAATGAAGGATACTGAGCGAGAGACAATGGAGGCAAGGGGGAGGATGGAAGGAGATGAAGTAGTAGTTTGGCACCCTACAGGCTAGGGCGCTCTCCTAATTATAAGCACAAGTCCACTGAAAAAGATTACAGAAATCTATGCTGAGATACCCCCTAACCATATTAAATGCATATGTATATATATAATATGTTTAGCAATATGTGCGCCGATACCATATTATGCAGTTTAAACTGTTTTACACATACATTGCGCTCAGCGACTTCATGGGGCAGGAGACACCTTCATTTTTGAACAAACACGTACATAGCAGTGAGCGGCATAATGTCGGTCTGTGCCCCCCATTTTTTATATCAAAACTGGACTCGGACTCGGTCTTGGACTCGGACTCGGGTGGTGTAAACTCGGACTCGGACTCGGACTCGGGTGGAGTGGACTCGGACTCGGACTCGGGTGGTGTGAACTCGGACTCGGACTCGGACTCGGGTGGAGTGGACTCGGACTCGGACTCGGGTGGTGTGGACTCGGACTCGGACTCGGACTCGGACTCGGGGGGTGCGGACTCGGACTCGGACTCGGGTGGTGTGGACTCGGACTCTG